CATTTAATCTTTTGTGTTTCACTTCATGATTAAAGAACTGTAAATAATTGTTTTAATACTATATAGTTTGACTAATAGCAATTTTAATAATACTGTGAGAGGTGCAAAATCATCTTATTCTTTAGTGACCTTTTGTAAACTGGCAAATGGTATCCAAATCTGGGACTCATTTATGGGATAGTTTAAAAAATGTTATCAGAGACTCTTGTTCACACTGAGACATTTTCAGGGATAGTTTCCACCTCTTCCCAAAGTAACTTACATTAATCCATCTGAAAGGATGTTGTGATGGTCAGTTTGATTTCTGATGTAATTACATCTTCTATTTACTGTGCAAAAAGTAGTAGTTAGTGCTCCCTTTTCTTTAGAGAATGTGGTTCTGTATAAGCAGATGTTTATACAGCATTTTAAACCACTGATCAAGTAAGCTACTTCTTCATGAAGCTTCATATGAACAGTCTTCCAAATAGAGGGACCTAATGGATCTTTCCAAGATTTCTGCATAGCATTTCATAGCATCTGTGCTGCTGGTGATCACTTCCCCTAGTATGGTGGTTTACTGTTAAATGTTGCCTGTTTGTAGAAATAAAATCAGGGGTCAGGCCTCCTGTTGTGGTTGAAGCCGCCCTGTGCCAGGCCCCTCCCCAATAATCCCCAAGGCTTTGTCCTGCAGAGGAGGGGGCTTAGGGAAGGGGTGCAATGGGGGGGGGAGAGGGTGAGGTGGGAAGGGGTGGGACATGGGAGATGGGTATGGACACCCCATCCCTCCCACAGGTAGTAGGGATTCCTGTGCCGATTGCAAAAAATGCTCAGGTTGTAGCTGGCCCGCGGGCCGTAAGATGAGACCCCTGAATAAGATGCTTGTTTATCATGAAAAAATTGGAAATTTACAACTTCTCATCTTCAGTGATATCTCGGAAAACAACTGATGTTGAGTCTCCTCTCCTTCTCAGGACTGTTGGCTTTTTGTTTTCTTTCAGCTAGTGGTGGTTGGCAGGAGCCAGAGAATTCACATACACAGAGGGTAAGTAAAGGAGAGAGGTAACGCTGAAATCTTAAGGGGAGTGGCGTAGGACAAAGACTCTGGTCTTGTTTTTAGAACAGTGAATATCATCATCTCAGTTACTCTTGAGAAACCATCTGTTACATGTAGTCATAGGGTCAGCACGTTGGCTGAGTTCAGAGAATGATGCTCTTTTGGAAACTGTCAGATCCTGCAGTGGGTGTGTATAGTACCTCTTGTTCTGAACGATCCCAAAGTACTGTGCAGACTACTTTGTTGAAATGCCACCAGCTGGCACAAGGAACTTGTGGTAAGGGATATATTAGGGCCAAACCACTACCCTTATGAAGAGTGTCATGAATATTTAACGTAAGAGATGCAAAACCTGTAGATGCACCTCCATTACCACAACAATCAATGCCTCAGCACAACACACCTTTCACAATCCATGTGTTCTGCACATACCTATCAACTGTGGGTGAACACTTTTCACAAAACGATCACTCTGTATCTAACCTCTCAGTTCTCACCCTCAAAGGAAGCTGCACCACACCTTTAAAAGATGAGAGCCTAAATTCACAACTTCACGAGACACTACATATGATCTTAATAAAGACACTGGTGGTTTGGCTTATTGTAGCGACGTGTGACCCACAAAATCTCCTTTTCAGTCCTATGACTACAGAGATGTTAACAGGCCACTTCACTCTGAACGATTTCTTACAATGTGTGTTAACTATTGATGGTAACAATCTGTTCCGCCTTATGTTTAGCTGTGCTACTCTCTGAGTAATGTCCCAGAGCTGAAGAAGTGCCCTGTATAAGGTCAAAAGCTTGCCTCTTACCAAGAGAAGTTGGCCCAATAAAATATTTGTACTTCACCCACCTTATTTCTTTAGTGTTCCTGGACCAACAGCTACAATGTCACTTCAGTCATGAATATTTAACAGCATAGGTCAGATGTGACTTTACTTTCTTGGGCTTCATAGGAAAGTGACTCACAGAAACTGTGCCAAAGAATTTAATCCACATTGGAAGGCTGAATTAACCCTGGCAGGAGTGCATTTATTTTAATTAACATGCAGATTGTTAACATGTTTATTGTCTGTGTGAACAGAACTCGTTTCCTGGTTATCCCCTCTTCCAGGCTTGGAGTTCTCCTGGTCCCCAACGTATAATACATCTTACTCTCCTCATCCTCTGTTAAACTGAGAAGGAGGCTGCCAACTGTACTTCACCAAATTGTTCTGGCCAGGCAGTATTCTCCCTGATTTTTGCAGAGTGTGCAGGCTATTGGATGCAACCCATGGCAAAGTCTCAATTACTGCGGTAGCGAGGAAGTGAACTTTGGGTAATGCAATATGATAGAATTGGTCTTGAGATGAGCCTTGTTAGAAAACCAATGAAACATCTGTTCCTGTTGCCCATTTCCTCAAGTGTGTTTCCTTCAGAATAAACCAGTGTTGGCAATGGAAGAAAATACTTTGTGGGAAGGAAAATTTGGTGGGTGGATGAATGCTATTGTCTTGTCTGGCACAGTGTTTCACCCAGTACGTAACTGGTCCTATTTTCCCCCTTCAGATTAATAAACTAGTTGAGTATTACCAGCAGCTGGCTCAGAGAGAGAAGATAGAGCGGGACCGTAAGAAGCTGGTGCGACGCCGAAACTACATGCCATTAGCCTTTTCGGTGAGCTGGGACGGTGCTGCTCCTACAGTGAAGCACAGGAGCAGGGCTTCCTAAATGCCTCAGTTTTGAAGATTAGATGAAGAATAGGCCTGCTAGAAAAAGGGAGGAGCTCTATCAAGAAGGAATTGAAATAACCTATACTTAGGCATTCAGAATAATGGTGGGGAGGAGATCAATAATCTTCCTTCCATGCATTTCACTAGTTTCCACCCTCCCCACTTAATAATCCCTGAAGGATCTCGAAATCTACCGCACAGATGGTGCATAAAGTGATCAGCTCAGCTGGCTCTGCAATGCAGCTGCTTCTCATGTTGAGGCGATTGCAGTAGCTCTGCACCTGTGTGTTTTTTAAAGGATAGGAAGTATCTTTCTGTATAGAAACTATGTAGAGGGAGAGTAGACAGAACATGAATGCTAAAGTTGGAATTTAGCCAGGATACCAGAGTTAATTCTTCTCTGTATGGTTCATGTACTGAGGTTCATGAGATATTTGCCAACTGTCTTTCTAATGCAGGATTGACATGTATTATCCACTAAAAGTCTTAACTGAAGTTGGGCTTAAGAATTTATTAAAACCTGAATCGTGCATTTATTGCAACTGCTAGAGAGAAGCTTACTTTGTTTAGCAGAATTTGCTTGCTACTTTTCGGTTAATTCTGTAACCAGCCTGCTCTGTGCATTTGCTCTTGTCTTATGGCTGCATTTTTTGTCTCCGTTGCTAACTGCTGCTTTTTTGGGCCCTCTTCACAGCAACACACAATACATGTAGTGGTAAGTCTTTTCCCGGGTTCTGCTAGTGTTAACTCTTGTAGTGCAAGTAAAAATCACTCATGTTAACAATAGTGTTTCTGAAGACTGGAATAGTTTCTTTTTAACATCATTTTGAGGTTCATTATAAAACTTGTATGTTAGTAACTTAGGTTTCTTTCTTTGTCCTTCAGACACACACATTTGAAAAATAGCATTTTCTGATGCATTGATAAGACACAGTCTCTGCATAGGCTAACACGGCTGCCCCGTATTAGTGTCAATAATAACTTCCTACCAATTAGCCCAACCCATCAGATGAAAACGTCTCATTTTAGCTCTAGGGGAAGCAAATTCTTGCCAAATAGGATGAGCCTTGCAGCATTTCTCTGAAGTCCGGTTCTTTAGGCCTCCGCGGGTCCTCCACCTTTCACATCCCCTCTCCAGCTGAGATCTAGTAAGTCAATGAGCACCTCAGCTGTCCTGGCCCTTGGTGTTGCCATGCCTCGAGATAGGTGGCCAGGTCCCGTGTCATACAGAACTTTAATCTGTATTTCACTTTCTCCCGCTACTTCTGATGGCAGCCTAGAGTGTGTCAGTCTGTAACATGCTCGCTTTTACCCACTTCTTTAAAGCAAGTGAGCTGCCACATTCTACGCTAACTGTAGCTGAGTTGACTTCAAAAGTACAGCCAAGTTCAGCATGTTGAAGTTGTTCAGTTAAGTAAAGAATTAAAGCTTGACAGTCTTTGACAATATACTTCTGCTCCCCCTTTCTTCCCTCCCCAAGTTATTTATATTTTACTAATAAGATGTAGCAGAGAAAACGTACAAACTGAGGAAACTCTTTCAGTTTGCTTTCATTTGCTTAGCACCTTATGCTCGTCACGCTGTCGCACACTCAGGTTTGCTGGAGGCTGTGTCCCGACGTCCAGCATATCTGGATTTGATGGTACTGTTTCCCTCCTTGTAGGACAAATACGGCCTTGGAACCAGACTCCAGCGTCAGAGGCCTGGGGCGCCCATCAGTGCTCTTGCTGGACTCTCGTGAGTTTTCAGGGTTCAGTCCTTTGTAGGTGGGAGGGATGAAGGGGATAAATAGGGAAATAAAGAAATAGCTTCAGAGAGACTGATGAATTATCTGATAATATTGCAAAAGGGCTTCATCTCTAGAGTAGATGGAGAGATGTTAAATGCCAGGCAGAGGGAGTGGGATCTCTACTGACTCTCCAGGCTGTCACTCATCCAGGAACTTACTCCGCTGCAGGCCTGCCATCAGGGAGTGTAAAGGGGACAACTGCCATGGGGCCTAGTGATTCAAAAGGGCCTGAGGCTTCCAGCCACAGCTACTGTGGCAGCGGTGGCACCTGAAGCCCCTGGTTCTTTTAAATCGCACTGGAGCGCCAGGCAGCACTGAAGGGTTGTCAGGGGGAGGTTAGCCCCAGCCCCACCCCTTCCAGGCATGCGGAGGACCCCCCCCCATGCATTCCTTGCCCAAGGGCCTGGCAATTCTGTCGGCTGCCCTGCCATTCCTTTATACTGCAGAGATCTCTAATAGAAGCTAATGAAATGCAGTGATTGCATACTAGGGATGGTAAATATCGGTTAATTGAATAGTCGAGTAACCTCATGAATTCTTATTGGTTAGTCAACTATTCTATAGTCCCCGGGGGTGGGCCAGCAGCCAGTGCACTCCGGCCTCACTCCCAAAGAGCTTCCTGACACCCCATGCTGCCTCCTCTGTATTTGAGGCAGCAGCGTGGGGTGCCAGGCAGGAGCTAGTCCACAAGAGGAGCCAGTTTAAAAACCATCTCCTTTCACCGACCGGCTGCCTGTTGCCCCGTGCTGCTGCCTCCAATACAGAGGCAGCACTGCAAGGTGGCAGCATCCCCTTCTGGGGGGTGGGTGTCTGAGCTCCTGGACCCGGCACAAGTCGGAACTGTGCCAGGCTGCCTGCCCACCTAGCTCCTAATATACTTCAGATGCAGAGCTGCAGCAGGGGTAGGTCCTGGACCCATCGCAAGCCAGAACTGGGCAGGGCTGCTGGCCAGCCTGCTAAAAGAATGACTGGCGGGGGCAGAGGGGATGCATTTCGTACAACGGCATGAGATAAGAGGGAGTCTCAGCTGCAATGCTGATTTTTTTGTAGTGTAATCAGACAGTTTCTTATGGTGTAATATTTTTCAGTTGTTAAATGTGTACCGTGTTCAGTGACTTGCTAATTTGTCTTCACTTTCCTCGTGTCAGCCTGAAAGAAGGAGAGGACCAGAAGGAGATAAAGATTGAGCCTGCTGATGCTGTAGAAGAAGTGGAACCGCTTCCTGAGGATTATTACACAAGACCCATAAATCTAACCGAGGGTAATGGCAGAACATTCCATTTTGTTTCATGTGCAGCTCTTCACCAGCTAATCGCCGGGAACAGCCTGGACATTGTCTGTGTTAAATGATCCTGAGGGGGGTTGTATTGTTTGCCTGGCTTTAAAAATTGCATTGTTGGAGGTGGTACAATGGTGCAACTAGTGAAGAATGATGAAACCTGGGGCTTTTTAAATGCTTGAGGTCAGACTTCATTGTCTAATAAGAAAAGTTGAAGCGAGAGTCTGAAAAGTCAGGACTGTCCTCTTGCATGTTTGTGATTCCGTTTTGTTAATGATTGGAATTTTTTTTGAAAACTGGCGACATTTGGAGGAGGAAAAGAGCTGACGTCCTCGTTAGTAATAACAGGAAATGAGGGAAATAGCTATGCTGTTAAGATTAAAGACCTGGATGCTGAACTTTATAATATCCAGGGCTCGCCGAACCGCAGTGAGCCCCGCTTGCCAGCCGCGCTGTCCAACCCAGATGGCCCAAACCCGGCTCTTCCGGGTTATAATCTACTCGCCACAGGCGAGTAGATTGTATAATTTGTCGAGCCCTGATAATAACAATGCTGCATTATTTTTGCATCACTTTTAAATAGTTCAGTTACACTCTTGGGTTGTTTATCTGGATTTCACCTCGACTGGGAAGCATTTATGAATTGGCTGAGGAGCTGTCGGAGCACAACAGTCTAGCTTTTCTATTTTGAACACACTGCTGTGCTGTTTACACTTTATACCAAGTGTCCAGCCTTTCTTCTTTCAAATCCATAACAGAAAATGTGTGTCAAGTCTGTACTGCTTTAGGAATAAACTTTCTTGGCAATCTGGTGCATGAGTCTGAACTGGGCAAAGTCCTTGGATCAGAGACTACTTCTGTTTTGTACACAGCACTGCTCCACTGCTTTGATAATGAAAAAGCTGAGGAAACTGTGTTTGCTCTGGGGTAGTAGAATTTTTCAAGGCTGTGATCAAGTGCTGTTTCCTATTCATGCTTAATAAATGTTGACTAGTCACTAAGGGTGTGTCTAGACTACAGGGTTTTGTCGACAAAAGTGGACTTTTGTCGACAAAACTATACCTGCGTCTACACTGCCGCTAAGTTCTGTCAACATAACGTCGACAGAACTCAGTAGTTTTGTCGACGGCTGTAAACTTAATTCTATGAGGAATAACGCCTTTTGTCGACAGAGTTCTGTCGACAGAAGGCGTTATTGCATCTACACTATCCTTTGCGTCTACACTGTCATGTAGACAAAGCGGCTTGCTTTGTCGACAGAACTGGATGTCGTCTAGACGCTCTTTGTCGTCAGAAGCTTTGTCGACAGTATCTGTCGACAAAACTTCTGTCGACAAAAGCCTGTAGTCTAGACATACCCAAAGTGGCTTTAGACATCTGGTCCCCAGTTTTATGGCAGGCTGTAGTTGATCATACCTATGTCTATAATCTCACCAGCCGCATGGTTCTGCGCTCTGTGCCGGCTCTTCCGGGATGTAATATACTTGCCACGGGCGAGTAGATTACACTATTTGTCGAGCCCTGTCTATAATGCCAGGACCTTGCTCTTTCTTTGCGTAACTCTCCTATCTTTACATTCATGTGCTACTGGAACTGTTCATATTTTTGGTCAGGGCAATAGCGGAATTACTGGAAGAGTGCTGTAAAGTTTCTTCAATGTAGAAAAGTGTCTGGTGATCTCAAACACACCGCAGGATTGAGTGAGACTCTGGCTTAGCAGCAGTTGAGAACTGACGTTGCATTTTTGTTTTTCTATGTGTACCCAGTGACAACCCTGCACCAGCGTCTTCTACAGCCTGACTTCCAGCCAATCTGCGCTTCCCAGCTCTACCCGCGCCATAAGCACCTTCTGATCAAACGCTCGCTGCGCTGTCGGGTAAGTAACTGGATACATAGAGAACATTTCCCTCCACTTTGAAATCCTAACCTGTGGGGCTTTGTCTACACTCGCAGCTTCTTGCGTGAGTAATATGCAAATGAGGCGAAGCGTGGAATATCGCCGAGCCTCATTTGCATATCGAATGAGCCACCATTTTTTTCAGAAGAGGCTCTTGCGTAAGAAGGAACGTCTACACTACTCCTTCTTGCACAAGAAAAACCCTCTTGCACAATGCTGTTCTTCCTGCAGTGTAGACGCTCCTTCTTGCGCAAGAGCCTCTTCTGAAAAAAATGGCAGCTCATTCGGTATGCAAATGAGGCTTAGCAATATTCCATGCTTAGCCTCATTTGCATATTACTCGCGCAAGAAGCTGTGAGCGTAGACATAGCCTGGGAGGGGGGCACTGGATAACTAACTTGCAACTGCACATTGTCTCTGAAAGCTCCAGCCGGCAAAGTGGTAAAGGGTCACGAAATAAGCAAACGCCCAACAACCAACTAGATCAGGTCCTGGGGAAGCGTAGTAAGACCACTGCACCTGTGGGGTAGCATGAGGCAATGGCTGGAGCAGGGGTGGGCAAGACAGTGTCCGTGAGCTGGATCCGACCCACCAAGCTGTTTGATCCGACCCGCCCTGCCCCCAGGCCGATGAAAACCCGAGGACTGGAGAGGAGCGTGAAGTCTCCTCCTGCCATCAGGGGCATGTCATATCTAGAGCTGGTAGTTCTGTCTAGGAGCCGCGTGCCCCTAGTAGGGCTGGGGGGTGGGGAGAAAGACGTCATGTGCTCCCCCATCCCGAGCTAATCTGGGTCTGTGGGTGGAGGAGCATGCAGTGTTTCCTGATCCCGCCTCTTCTGCCCAAGGCCCCACCCCTTTCTGGGGCGACCACTTACAAAATTTGTGAAGTGGTCCCCCTTTAAAAATTATTGACCACCCCTGAGCTGGAGACGAAGGACCAGATTTTTGAACATGTTTCAGTGCTAAAAGGCACTTCTAGTGATGTCTTGCTTAGGCACATCTGAAAATCCTTCTAGGCATCTGTTTGCATCTTTATGAACTTAAATACCTTTGAAAACATGGTCTTACATGTTTTAACTAGCTGTGTGATGGCATTAGAGCACACTGCTTGGGAGTACCTCAAATGGCTGGTGCTATAGAACAACGTTTTGTTTTTAAAAAAACAGCTAGAAAGCCAAACGTAGTCAACAAATGCAGTGTTGGTGAGCACTGATATGACCCTGTGCAGAACACTGATTCTCTTTGAATATGGCCTGCAAGCAGATGTTTCAAACAGTGTCCCAACAGAAAGAAAGAGGGCTGAGCACAGGCACAGAAATGAGAGAGCCTTGAATTCGTCTCCTGGTTCAACTGTTGATTCACGATAAGGCCTAGGGCAACACACCTGCCTTTCCATCTGGCACTGGGGGATAATCTTTATCTAACTTTCAGAAAAGCGGAGGATTAATTAGTTAATATTTGTAGAGCACTTTGAAGTGTATCAAAGTGCTGTGTGTTATCAACAACCAATAGAGTACGGTTACATTTCATCGGAAGGGAGGGGTTGCAGGAACTCTAGTGCAGACTTGTGATGTGATTGTAACCTTGCATCATGTAGTTCAGTGATGTGCAGACTGAGGCTCTCAAGCCACAAGTGGCTCTTTAATGTGTGTCATGTGGCTCTTTGCAGCATGAGATATTAAAACACTGTGCAACTATAACCCCGCACACCTGGTGGGTGTAGTTCACTCTCATGTAGTGGTGCTTAGACCACTTACAGTGGAGAGATAAGAACCAGGGAGCTCTACAGTCTAAGCTGAGATCTAGCTGGTTTTATAGTTAAAGTTGTAGAGGTTCCTACACTAAGCTCTAGAGGTTCCAAGTTCAAATCCACCCAGTGGTGGTTACGCAACCTAATTATTAACCCGTCTAAGTTACTAACCAATCAAATGTTTTTATTAACTACAATTGATTACTAATACTTGGCCAGTCATTTTGCTGTGAGAATAGCATGTAGGTGTGTATATAATGAAATGCTTCCCCGTCATACTAAGTGTGGCACTATAGTGCAATAGTAAATTAAACCATGATTTCACATGACTGTGGCTCATTTGAGGTAATGCTGATCACTAATTTGTCTCCTCAACCACTGAGGTCGGAGTATCACTAATGTAGTTGCGTGTCCCTTCTGTTTTTTTGGAGAGGGGAGAGAATTCAAGTTCTTAGATTTTCAGGATAGAAATGGACCTTTTCAGTTTCAGAATTTCGACCAGCCTGGACCAGATTCACTAGATCCTTAGGCTGACAGAATTAGTAACTGGAACATCCAAATTATGGCACTTGCAGTTCTTATTCTTCACAGTGAGGCTGTACACTGTGCTTGTTTTGGCCATGTGTAAAATATCTTTTCTTCTGTTTTAGAAATGTGAACATAATCTGAGTAAACCAGAATTCAATCCAACGTCAATCAAATTCAAAATCCAACTGGTTGCTGTGTAAGTATGATGGGAATAGAGGCTGGGTGGGAGGAGCAGTATCTTACTGTGTGTTAACATCTAGTTAAAACCCTGTCTTCTTTTAGGCCTAGCAATGATCTTGATGTCAAAAATTCAGAAAAAAACTGGGAGTGTAAAAAGTAACCCAGTAACTGACGCTAGCTGTGGACACATGGCGGACATGCAGTGTTTCCTTGAATAACCCAGGAAAAAAATGTAGGTTGTCTGCAGTGTCTGGAGAGAGAGTTGCCAAAGATTAAGTAGATCTACAAGCACCATCTATGAAAAATGGTGGCACACATTGTTCTCTTTTCATGCCTCAGCCTTGAGATGTCATCTAGGTGGCATTGTGGAAATGAACACAGAAGCCGTCCACATAAACAGGTTTCAGGTAGAATCCATAGCTTTCAGGGACAATTACAGCTTCTTGTGGTTTTTGTTTTGTTTTTGTTTTTGTTTTGTTTTTTAATTCCCTGGAGGGTTCTAGGGATGCTACAACAGTTAACTAGTTAAAAGTTAGCACCTAACCAGTTAACTGTTTAAACTTCAGGGCTGCCATCTAGCCCCGCCGCAGCTATGGAGTCTTGCCACAGCCTTGAGATCCTGCTGTAGCTAGGGGGTCCCGCCACCCGGCCTGCTAGCCCTCCATGGCTGGGGCTGCTCCACCCCGGCACAGCTGACCACCCCTGAAGTTCACCCACAAGGGCCGGTTAACCAGTAAACATAGCTGTAAGCCTCATGCATATCGGCTAACTGTTTAGTATCTCTAGAGGGTATGTATTCTGAGGTTATTCTCAATGCAGTATCAGTAGGGGCTCTCTCAGAACTTGGCTGTACAGTACCTCTTTAAAGCATGTGATCTTAACGTTAGTTAAAAACTCCCTTTAAAACGTTGCAGACCAACATTAAATTACAAAATCATTTAACTGCACATCCACTAATATGATCTATACCATCAAATACCAGCAATGTCCCGCTGCAGTGTATCTTGGCCAAACTGGACAGTCTCTACGGGAAAGAATTAATGAACACAAATCAGATATCCGAAAAGGCAATACACAAAAATCTGTTGGAGAACACTTTAATCTTCCTGGACACTCATTAATGGAGCTCCAAGTCATGTTTTGTTTCAGACCAATTTTACAAGCCAAATACACAGAGAAGGGTTGGAACTTAACTTCATTCACAAGTTTCATTCTTATGCAAACGGTATGAACAGGGATATCCCATGGCTCCTCCCACATTATCTTCCACATTTTAATGACTTAACCAACCAAACAATGAAGGTGCTAATGATTCTTTTCAGCCTCTTGTAACTATTTAGTCTTTAAGGTGCTACTAGACTGTTTGTTTGTTTTAGTTTTTCCTGTTACATACTAACTAGGCTACCTCTCTGAAGCTTATCTACTCTCTCTCTCTCTTTTTTTCTCTCCCCTCCACTTTTTTTCCTTCTTCCTCTTCCTCCCTCCTTCCCTTATTTATTCTTGGATCTGGACTTCCAACACTCCTGTCATCTGAAGAAGTGGGTTGTGCCCACAAAAGCTCATGATATCATCTATATGTTTTGTTAGTCTTTAAGGTGCTACTAGACTATTCATTGTTTTGTAAGTTTTTCCTGTTACACACTAATTCAGCTACCCCTCTGAAGCCTTTTTTTCTTTTTAAGAAAGTCTGGTTATGGCATTATTTTTAAGTTTTAACATTAAGTTCTTTGAAATTCCACTTCCCCCTTTAATGTACCAAATGAAAGGCAATTCACTAAGAGTTTAAACATCTTGAAAAAAAGCAAATTAGCTCTTGTTTACAAAAATAAGGATGCCCTTGCTCTTTGTAGGGCACTGGCCGTTGCCTGTTCTGTATAACCCCTTTGCAACGTATGATTTTAAACCAACGGAAGTCTGTGGCCTCACCACATCAGTTAAGGATCTTCCCCTATAGGTGGGCTCTTGGCAGAGCTGAGAGCCAGCTCACATTTGTGTCTTTCATGTGCAGCAACTACATCCCTGAGGTGAGGATTATGTCCATTCCCAACCTGCGCTACATGAAGGTCAGTGCTCCTCTTTTCTGACCCCCTTCAGGGTGGACAGTAGAGTGCATGTTGAGCCCTCAGTGTTTTTCAAAAGGTCCTTTGGCAGGATGAGGGACTAGGCTTGTTGATGGCATTAACTTCCTGTATCTCATAGTTACGTGGAACGGAGTTAAACAGCAGCTATGGCAGTTCAGAGAAGGCACCATAACCAAGGGGTGGCAAGATCTGTCTCTGGTGTGCCTTATCTTGGGACGGCTGTGGTATGTTCCGAGAGTGGTGAATGTCACAGATGTACTGGTATGTTGGGAACAGGAGTAAATTCCTAGCATACATTTTCATTCTCTAAACTTGTAATAGAGAGCTGGAAGTGCCCCTTATAAGTGTAGCCGGGCATAGCAACCCTGCATCCCATGAGGACGATGGATGGTGTAGGTCACAGGAGTAGTCTGTAGATCTTCATGGCGTTAATGTGACATAGTTTTGAAGGCAACATCAGTCAGCCTGAAGTCAGCTCTCCAAGGGTCAAAGCCGCTTTCTCAGTGTCATTCGTCAACTATGTGCCCTGCCTTTGTATCTCACCAGGAGAGCCAAGTTCTTCTGACTCTGACCAATCCAGTGGAAAACCTCACCCACGTTACCTTGATGGAGTGTGAGGAGGGAGACCCCGATAACATCAACAGCACTGCTAAGGTAGTGCACCTTCTTGCTGTACAATTTGAAACGCAAAGGCCTATTCCAGCATTCTCAGCTTTCCTATGGGCTGGGTTAAGGCGCACCCAATTTCTCATAAGCTACAGGAGGCATCGTTTACCTCAGTTCGAGCCAAGTCTCGCACTCATTTGGTGGGAGATTCAAATATTAAACCTACTAGTGCTTTAATATCATCATTATACGGTTTTGAGAACAGTTGTAAACACCTTCAACGTGTTCGTGATCAGGGTCCGTAACTCAGAAGAGGTAACTTTCTAATCCAAGGGAACAGTGTGGTAGGGACCATTTGATAAGGAGGAAACAGAAAGGGTGGAGGAAAACCAGAGGACTCTTCTCTTCTCCCTCTGTGGTAGGGATGTTAAATATCGGTTAATTGAATAGTTGATTAACCTCATGAATTCTTATCAGTTACCCGACTATTCTATAGTCCTCAGGGGTAGGGCCAGCAGCCAGTGCGCTCTGGCCCTACTCCCAAGTTGCCCCTGCCACTCCACACTGCTGCCTCTGTATCAGAAGCAGCAGCACGGGGTGCCAGGTGGGAGCTGGTCCATGAGGGGAGCCAGTTTAAAAACCAGATCCCCATGCGGACTGGCCACCTATTGCTCCGTGCTGCTGCCTCTGATACAGCTCCTAATACACTTTACATGGAAAGCTGCAGCATGGTAGGTCCTGGACCCGTCGCAAGCCAGGACTGAGTCGTGCTGCTGGCCAGCTGCTAAAAAATGTACTGGCAGGGATGCGGGGGGAATGCGTGTAGTCTATAGCATTAACCTATAAGCTTTTGCTTACTGGTTAATCGACTATACTCTTACATCCCTGCTTGGGGGTGCCCTCTGGCTTGATGAGCATTCAGAAGGGAGTGCCTGGCTGCTGTGCAGGCGTTGGGATGTGTTTGAGCACTGCCCTTCTCCATGTCCATGTCTTGCAGGTGGTGGTTCCTCCCAAGGAGCTAATCCTAGCTGGCAAAGATGCTGCAGCAGAATATGATGAGTTGGCTGAACCTCAGGACTTTCAAGATGACCCTGAGTGAGTTTTCCATCTTTCATTTGTGCGGGATAGCTTGGCACGTAGAACTTGCTTATATTCCGCCACTTCCTCTTCTGTTTCTCAGCACGTCGGCTTTTGTCCAGCTTGAGCAAAGCGGAATGTCTGGTTTTCCTGTCTGCGGTATGGGTTGTCCTGAACCCGTTCCCGTCTCGATAGGTTGTGCGTTGTCATGGCACCTTTCAGATTGAAAGCAGCTGTGCCAGCTGCCGGCTCTCTAAAGCATGCTAGCTTTCCAAGCAGTGTGTACACCACTAGAAATCACATCGCTGTGATTTGGTGGTAAAATAACCCTGAGATCTACCCAGACCTTGGCTGCTCTAATACTCTGCTTATTTCTTTGCAGCATTGTGGCCTTCAGAAAGGCCAACAAGGTGGGAGTTTTCATCAAGGTCGCTCCACAGAAAGAAGAGGGCGAAGTGACCGTGAGCTTTAAGATGAAGCACGAGTTTAAAAATCTTGCCGCTCCAATCCGCCCCAGTGAGGAGGGCGATCAGAGTTCTGAGATCATCTGGCTCACCCATCATGTGGAGCTCAGCCTTGGCCCGTTGCTCCCATAACGGCTTCCAACAGCTGGGTCCAAAAGGTGGCCATGGGATTGACTCTTTTGCCGTGACAGAATGCATCCTGTTGAAATGGTTTGGGAAACCTCCTTTGTGATGTAGACACGTGCCACACATTCCAGCCAAGAAAGGAGGAGGAGGTTGCATGGGCGCAGGGAAGGGAAATAAGCTGTTGGATGATTTGATCTGCTCTCTTTAATGCCCACTGTGTGAGTCTGTGGCTTTCTCACACCACCACATGCTTGTTTAACTTACCGCACAAAGTTCAGCACAGAGAAGGCCATCACTAGACCTGTGTTAGCCCTTGCTGAGGTCACATTAGCGTTGCCAACAAAAATGCCCAAACCTTTACGCCGGCTTTCCTCTTCTCCAGATCAGTCCCATGAAGCCGATATTAAATACTCCGCAGAACAAACTCTTTCTCTGGTACTTGTAACCTGCAATTAGTGAGCAAACATTCCAGAGCTCTTTTCTCTTCTGTTGCAGGAGCATGATACACTCGTCTCTTCTTTCCAGCTCCTATTAGACTCTCGTTAGTTACAATTTTTCTTTAGCCCCAGGCATTCACAGGTGTAACTGTTTGGGGGTTTATCCCCCTTGACTAAAAATAATGCTTTGCTCTGTAGACCCGGTTTGGGAGGCAATGGATCTTAAGAATGTATGTGCCTCTTGAGATGAAATGCAGCATATTATAGCTCATGTGGGCTTGGTTAACAATTTATGTCATCTTAAATCTGTGTTGGATCATGGAGGTTAGGATGCATGGCACTCTAGGATGGGGAGGAGATGGTCAGTAGGTCACTGAAGAGAAAATACTGCTGCTTCACATTTTATTGAGACTAGGACACTACTGAGTGCAATTTTTACATCCAGTAAGTTATTTTTAATGGCGAAATCAACCAAAGAATGACCGCTCAGATCGTTGCAGTAGACACACAACTTTTAAGGGTTCAGGAGCAAACTCAGTGTGTTTACCAGTGACTTGGAAAAAAATAGCTGTAGGCTTCTGGAGCAGGAAAAAATGTGAAGATCAGCTTATCTAGCCCTCTGCACTAGAAGTATATGCTTACCATAACCTAAGCATAACTTATGTGCTGTCATGAAGCTTATGTTGGCCCTTAGTCAGACCTAAAAGCAGTTACAAACAGCTGTCCGTGATTCTGGTTGTAATGTGCCACCATTACCACTATCTACAGTGTTACAGTGCAAACAGCACAGGAGTTCTTTTTTTCAGTTGCTCTTTGTTAAAAGCAGGGACCTTTATCAAACCTCTCCCTGACTGAGCCACAAAGGCAGGCTACAAAAATCTTTATCTTGGGGCTTTGACACACATCCTGGAGATGACCAAGTGGCCATCAAGCCCTTCCAGATGTGCTCTGTGTGGTTTGATAAGGAACATGTCTACTGTAGATGGCTCTGCTGTTCTGTAGTGTAAGATGTGTGACATCTGGGAGAGGAGAAAAATGCGTCATTTTATCTTAGGGTGTGTCTAGACTACATGCCTCCGTCGACGGAGGCATGTAGTCTAGACACACCCTAAGATAAAATGACGCATTTTTCTCCTCTCCCAGATGTCACACATCTTACACTACAGAACAGCAGAGCCATCTCAGTCTGGATGTGCCGCGTCGTCAAAGAAGCCTTTCTTGATCGGCACAGGTATGCCTTGTGAAACCAGGTTTACCTGTGCCGATCAAGAAAGGCTTCTTTGTCGACGCGGCGCGTCCAGACTGCCCCGATCTGCCGACAAACAGCTGATCGGCAGAGCGGGGCAGCCATTTAAATTTAAATCATGCCGCGATTATTTTAATCGAGGCTTCATTTCCCTCTGCCGATCTGGCTAATCTAAATGCCTCCGTCGACAGAAGCATGTAGTTTAGACGTACCCTTAGTGAAATAATAGTGCAGTGACTAGATGGGGGCACCGTGGCATGCAGGAGCGTTACCCTTTTTGTGTCCGGAGGCAGTCAAATGGACCTGCATCCTCTGGGACAACCTTTGGGAAGGAGCTGCATCTTATCTGTTCATGAGTGCAATGGGTATCTCAGCAGAGAGGGGCTTAATGTTTACAAAGTTGCGTAGATGATACACAGATGTACAGCATGAGCTTGTGTAGCCAGTATTTATTCATAATTGTGTAGTGTTAATAAGTGTCTGCTACTGTTATGTAACCAAATAACACGTAAGCTTGGGTTGAGTTTTCCTCAGTAGCCAAAGTAACTGGCAAATGATCAACACTAACTATCAAAGTCACCTTTTCCAAGCTCGTTTTTGGCTGGCTGGCTGATACTTTCAAACTGGAGTTGTGAAAACGAGTTCACTACTTGTAGCTGAGTTTAGAGCTGAGATGGTGCTCTACTGAGCTACACAAGAAAGGCTCTTTAGCATCTGGTTAATGCTACGGAGAAACCAGATTTGTTTTGGTGCTTGAAAAGTGAAGGGCACAGTGGCTTTGAATGGCTTAACTAATCTAGTGAATTTCTTTTCCCTTAAAAGCTTATAGGAGATGAGAATAACTTTAGCTGTTTTCCATGGATAGTTCTGCAAAAACATCTCACTTGTTCCCTGGGGAACAATGGAAGCATTCTGCCTTTATCAATGTTAACTCCATTAATGACAGATTGTGTTGCCTTATAGTTTAATTTATGTAGTGAACTTGAAATAAATAAAGCAGATGAAGCTGATATATTTTTTTATCTTGTGCAATAGTAGTACTGAAAATGCAGTGTGAACACTAATGCTCAAGGCGCATATCAGGTAGGGATTGTTCCACCAGTTTACACAAGGGCTAAATTCCTACCGCAGGGATTGATTGACTTCTCAAAGGCTGTAAGAGTGTCAGCAGTGGGGCTGGAATCAAGTGCTGCAGCCTGCAAATCCCATGCTCACGACTGGATTATGCTATCTCTCTGCTGTTTGTAAAGGAGTTCAGTATTGTCTCAAACGAAGTATTCCCAAACCAGACCAAAAGGTGAAATTGTCAGTATGGGTTACTCCTTTGCCACTCCTAATCTGCACTTCTATGCTACCCATGAAGTATAAATCTCTCCCCCTGGTATGTAACCTCTTAAATCCTGGATTTCAGCAATTTAGCCCTCCAGTTTAAGTTTAGCTGTGGACTCCAAATAGGATTTACAGATGACAAGCTGTAATGGGTTTTGAATGTCCTCCACTTCAGAGGGAGCTGTCTGTGTACATACTGTCCAACGGATTGCAAGAGATCACCAGCACAAAGCACCGATAATTCTATCAAACCAGGAGTGTAAGAGCATTTAGAAACGAGTGGTCCTGCGGCCCCTTAAAGACAGAAATATATAGGATCATGAGCTTTTGTGCATAAACCCACTTCACCGGATGAGTTGGAGTGGCAATAACAGAATCCCAGATGTATATAGAACAGAAAAATCAGTTAATTGTAGAACCTGCCTTAATGTAGTTAATTAAGTGGGCTCCCATTCTTCGTTTTATATGTGAAAATTCGAATGTCAAAGGCAGAGGAAATTAGCTTTGTAACGTGATAACCAGTTAATGTTTTTATTCAAGCTCAGGGTAACAGTGTCACAATTGTAAATGAATTCCAGTTCAGCCGTCTCTGTAACTGGGTAGTGAAATTCCTTTGTAGAAGAGTGGCTATTTTTAAATCCATGATTCAGGGTCTGAGGAGGTTAAAATGTTCCCCTACAGGTTTGTGTGTGTTACTATCCCTGTTGTCTGATTTCTCCATTTATCCTTTGGTGCAGAAACTGTCCGGTATGGCCAATGTACATGGCAGAGAGGCATTGCTGGCACTTGATGGCATATATCATATTGGAGGATATGCAGTTGTATGAGTCCATGATGTTGTGGCTTGTGTGGTTACAAACAAGTTTATGATGGACAGGAGCAGAGTTAAGATGGTTCCTTAACTCTCTTATTTCCAAAATTTCAAAGTTTTCCTCTACAGAAGCTTAACAGGATCGAGGCCTATTCGTTAAACTGACAGACCACGTCAACCTTAGCCCCAGTTGGCTGAAGAATTTGGCTGGAAATACTTTTTTTTCTTAAGTATGAGGGAAAAATTGAGGTTGCCCCACTTTGCCCTTGAATGTAAGAACACAAGAATGTCTATCCTGTGTGACATAGGCACCAACTCTTGGTGCTCCAGGACTGGGGTGCACAACACTGTCTCTCCCTCGCCGGCAGCCGTGGGGACTTGGGAGAAGGGTTAGAGTGGAGGCCAGGGGACAGTGTGGGTGTTGGGGTACAAGCGCACACATATACCCCCGCTAGAGGGCAAGTTGGTGCCTATGCTGTGTCAGATCAATGGTCCACAGAACCCAACGCTTGTGACAGGCAGGAGCTGGATGCTTCAGAAGGAATGAACCAAACAGGGCAGTAATTAAGTAATCCATCTCCTGCCATTCAGTCCCAGCATCTGGCAGTCTGAGGCTTAGGGACACCCACCGCATGGGGTTGCATCCCTGCCCCTCTTGGCTAATAGCCATTAATGGACCTATCATCCTCCATTAACTTATCTAGTTCTTTTTTTAACCCAGTTATACTCTTGGCCTTTACAACATCCCCTGGCAAGGAGTTCCACAGGTTGACTGCACTGTTTGAAGAAGCTCTTCCCTATGTTTATTTTAAACCTGCTGCCTATTAATTTCTTTGGGTGACCCCTGGTGGTTGTGTTATGTGAAGGGATAAATAACACTTCCTTCACTTTCTCCACCCCACTCACGATTTTGTACACTTACATCATTCTTCCCCTACTCCCTGCTCTTTGGTCATCTTTTCCAAGATGAGTAATCCCGAATCCCGGTCTTTTTAATCTCCATATGGAAGCTGTACCATACCCCTAGTCATTTTTCATTCGCTTTTCTGACTGCTCCAGCACATTGAGAGGATGCTTTCAGACAGTGACTCCAAAGATCAGTCTTGAGTGCTAATGGTGAATTTCATAGACTACTAGGACTGGAAGGGACCTCGAGAGGTCATCAAGTCCAGTCCCCTGCCCTCAGGGCAGGACCAAATACTGTCTAGAGTAGACCATCTTTGATAGACATCCATCTAACCTACTCTTAAGTATCTCCAGAGATGGGGATTCCACAACCTCCCTGGGCAATTTATTCCAGTGTTTGACCACCCTGACAGTTAGGGTCTAAATTAGGACAGTTCCTATCGTTTTGTATGTGCCATTGGGATTATGTTTTCCAACATGCGTGTAGCGACATTGAACGTTGTGCTGTTTTGTTGTCCAGTTCTCTAGGATGCATTGGTAATTGAGGCACAACAGAAATCCGTCCCTGAAATGTATGTGCGACCTGAGCAAAAAATAAGATTCGTGAGTGCCCAGCTGCTAGACAGCAGTTGTCTATCAAATGCAGTTCTCTTGGCTATCCTGGCAGAATTAATGGGGGTGCACGGCAGAGGAAATAAACAAAGATCTCCATGTTAGTAGCACGTTCCTTGAAAACACAAGACCCCGGGGTACCATGTAGCACTCACAAGAAACAAAATCAAAATGGAGGGTTTTTTCATTCACTAAAAAAAATTACTTGTGGGTGTTGTTTTATTTCCCCTGTTTAATGCTGGTTTGTGGCGCCAGGCTGACAGCCCTGGAAACTTAACGTCCTTGGTTTACTCCTAGAATAGTAACAGTCCAGACAGAGAATATAAACATCCCGGTACCCTGCTTCCATGTTGTATCTCTTTCGAGGATGAGAGGCTCAGGGCCC